TCAGGTTGGAGCTGAAGAAAATGAAAACAAGTGTGAAACGGCAGCACTGAGCATATCCCATCTGCATTCAGAGACCATGTCAAGACAAGATTTGGCACGTTGAACATGAATGACCGGACACCAGATGAGCTGCGTGATCAGGAGCAGCAGCACACAGTAAGTGAAAGACCATTAAAAAGACACGAGAGAAAGAAAAGACCAACGCGGATGTCAACAAAGACTCTGAAGCTTGCTCTTGATCAGAGAGGAGCTAAAGCAAATGGAAGAAGGAATGGAGAAAAGGAGCTCAGCAGAAGCTTCGAAAAGGCAGCTGGAGAAGACAAAGTCAATCAGTATAAAGAAATGTGCAAACGCGTGGGACTGGGAAACCAAAAGGGAGGCGCACATTCAGCACAACTCAAGCCGGAAGAAACGAAGAAAAAATTCAAGCTCCAAGTTTTAATATTAAAGAATTCTGTGGGCAAAACATTGGATGCTATAAGAAGCATCAAAAGAAGACAGAAGGAATGAAGAATCGCTGTATCAAGAATTGTCTGACATTCAACCATTTCAAGAGGTAGCATGTGATCAAGAACCGACGGTGGGGAGGGAGGAGGTCCACGGTGCACTGAAAGAGTAAAAAACAGGCTCCAGGAACCGACGGAATAGCAATTGCAATGTTTCAACAACCTGATGTAGTTCTGGAAGAACTCACTAGTATTATGAAATTTGGAAGACTGTCACTGTCAAGTGCTGGACTGCTTACTGCAAGGCTGGGAATTCAAACCCACCCTTGCCCTAAGGGTAAAGATGCAGCTGATCAATAGTTACAGCCTTAGAGACCCTAAGCAGGGTCACTATGAGTCGGAATTGACTGATGATACTGAGTTTAGTTTTTGGTTTGGGCTACTTGGCCAAGAAGGGATCCATATTGGTGCCCATTCCAAAGAATGGTATCCTAACAGTATATAGATATTATCAACAATATCATTAATGTCACATGCAAGTGGTTCTGCTGAAGATAATTTTCAAATGGTTGCAGCAGTACACTGACAGGGAGTTGCCAGCAATCCAAGCTGGATTCAGGAGAGGTCATGGAATGAAGAATATCAATGCTGACGGTAGATGAACTTTGGCTGAAAGCAGAGAATAGTTAAAAGATGTTCACTGGCGTTGTATTGACCATGCAAAGATATTAGACTGCGTGGATCATAGCAAACAATAGGTAACATTGCTTGCTGACAGTGAAGAGAACTCAAAGCACCTACTGATGAAGATCAAAGATTATAGATCTCAGTATGGATTACAATGTAAGGAAGGCAAAATACTCACAAGTGACCCAACAGGCAATGTCATGATATACTGAGACCACCCTGAAGATGTCAAGGATTTCATTTTGCTTGGATCCACAATCAAAGTTCATGGAAGCAACAGTTAAGAAACCAAATAACATAGTTCACTAGGTAAATCTGCTGCCCAAGATCAGTAAAATATAAAAAGCAAGAATGTCTTTTAGAGGGCAAAGGTGCACCTGGCCCAAGCTGTCGCATTCTCAGGGGCCTCAGATGCATGTGGAAGCTGGTCAGTGAATAGGGAAGACCACTGAAGAATCCATTTATTTGGTGAAGAACACTGAAAGTACCATGAACTGCCAGAACAACTGAACCTGTCATGAAGGAAGCACAGTAAGAATGCTCCTTGCAGGCAAGACTTGGTCCCATGTACTTTGAACATGTTATCAGGAGAGGCCAGTCCCTGGAAGAAGACATGATTCTTTTCTTTTTATCATTTTACCGGGGGCTCGTACAGCTCTTATCACAATCCATCCATCCATCTATTGCGTCAAGCACATTTGTACAGATGTTGCCAACATCTTTCTCAAAACATTTCCTTTCTACTTGAGCCCTTGCTATCAGCTCCTCACTTTTCCCTCCCTCCTCCACCCTCCCTCCATCATGAACCCTTGATAATTTATAAATTATTATTATTTTCCATGTCTTACACTGACCAATGTCTCCCTTCACCCACTTTTCTGCTGTCCGTCCCCTGGGAAGGGGTTATATGTAGATCACTGTTCTTAATAAAGCAGGGGGTCAGAGAAGAAGAAGAACCCTGATGAGCTGGATTAACACAGCGTCCCCAATAATGGGCCCAAACGTAACAGATGCGAGGATGGCCCAGTGCTGTGCAGTGTCATTCTGTTGTACACAGGGTTGCCATGGGCTGCAGCAGACGAGACCTCACCTAACAACACCAGTGCATAAAGAAATGGCCTTTCCACCCCACTGCATTACATCAGAGGTCTTTGTTGTTTGTTTCCATGGAGTTGGCCACTTTGTTATTTTCACCAACAACACTTTATTTGTTTATTCTCACCTCCCCCTGCCCCCAATTAAATATGTATCTACCCCCTTTGTTATTGCCTTTGTTATTAATCCTATATTGCATCCACATTTTCATTGTCTTGAAAGATTAAATCTTAACCCAGAACACTTTTCAAATCAACAAACGATTTGAAGAGAACGGATAATGGACCACCTTTCTCTGTTGGATAAGGACTGGGTCCTCAGTCCAGCCACAGAAATAATCCCCTGTGAAACAAACCAACAAAACCCCACTCTATCTTACAGATTCTGCCCCACAGAAACCATATAGCACAGAGTAGGACTGCCCCAGAGGACTTCCAAGTCTGTGAGTCTTTATGGAAGCAGACTGTCGGGTCTTTCTCCTACAGAGCAGGCGGTGGGCTTGAACTTCCAATCTTCTGGTCAGCAACTGAGTACTGAACTACTGCACCACCGGGCTAATCATTAATGATAAAATTGTACTTTTCCCTCTGCACACAGCCATGGTGTTTTCTCTGTGACTTTTTGAAATCAAAGCAAGAAAGTATAAGCAAAGGACTTCCCTTGCATTAGATTCACAGATGTGGCCAGCACTCACTAGGGACAGAACATGCCAGCTATCTAACTGCCTGCCTTAAGTGCTATAAACCAATGAAGGGTCACAAAATTAGCAGGAGTGTCTTTGCAGGAACCCGTCTGGTCTGACAATTTAGCCTCAGTCCTTGCTGACAGGCGGCCAGGTTTGTATGTGTGACCCAGCAGCCTTAGACGCAGTACATACCTCATCCACACAAGTCAGTCTTTGCCAGGCATTTAGAATGGCTACAGAAGCTTTCAGTGGTTAGTCTTCAGACTGGAGCGGAGAAGTCCCATCAATATGGGCCTAGCAGGGTCTTGAAAAGTTGTTGAACAAATCAGTTTCCACAGCCGAGAAAATAAATTAGTCAGGCATGAAGGGAGAAGGAGAGATCAGAACTCACGCATTTTAAGGGGGGATGAGTAAGCAGGGTCCCTCCCTTTTTGATTCCTGGATCCAGGCACTTAAGAGCAGTTTCTATTTAAATGTCATGAAATACTGAACCATCCAGCCAATAAGTTCCATTTCTCTTGAGTTACCGGACTTTGAATGGATTTCTGTTTCCAGGTCCCTGATTAAGAACCTTACAGCTGGATAGTGCTTCATAGTTTACCAGGTATTTTCTTTGTCATTCAGCATCACCTGTGAACCAGGTATGTCAGAATTATCACTACCTTGTAAGGAGATGATGTGGGAACTACAGTCACCCAGCTTAACATGAAGAACTTGCTCTTGTTTCAAACTGCCTTTACCCCCTGCTAGCAGCTAGCCCCCTCTTATCCTCCTCCCTCTCTTGGCTCTTCCAACAAGACCTTGACTCTTCTGAGATGTCTCCAAACTCTGGCTGCCCAGTTGTCAAGAAATATATACTATCTAATGTAGCACCTGCAGCTGTGCTGTTCCCACCAACCCCATTCCCCTCCAACCTGATAAGAATGTCTAACGGCTAGAACGTCCCTCCCTTTGAGGCAGCCCGTTATTTTGAACTCTACGAAAAGTTTGGAGTTTCTTTGGTCTGGATCGAGAGGTTTCCCAGGTGCTAGCTTACTCTCAGTCCATCTGTATAATAAAGACTTGAATTATTAATAGAGTGGTGGGGTTAATCTCACCCATTAACACCAGAATCCACACCTGACCCACTCTGGCTACACAAAAGGGAGGGAGCATGTGACTCTACAGCAGCCCAAGGTTGACCTCTGTGAGGCCAAGGTCAGACCTATGGCCAACTTCCAGCCTTCGCTACTATTCTGACACCAATCTTCCCTCGCGTGGCATTCTATGTCTCTGCTGCGTTTGATAAGCTGCTGCGGAGACCACACAAAACTCATAGACACCATGCACGATTTCCTACAAAAGTTAGCAGGTTACAAGACGTCAGGGCAGAAAACAGGAAGGCCAGTGTGCTTTGGTCTACAGCGCATCGTCTCAGCCACGCTGGCGGGCACGCACCTCGCTTGCTGGTCTCTAGCCTCTCAGCCACACAGGTCCTTGGCCCCAGTCCTGCTTCGGCTAGCGTTATAAAGTCCCCTTTGAACTAATAAATGCCCAAAGGGCACCTACTTTTTTAAAAGAAGCAATCACCAGGCCTTTCGTCAGAGCACTCCTGAGTGGCCACAAAGCTCCAACCTTTCAGTGAGCAGCCAATCCAGAGAAAGCACACCCCCAGACTCCAGAGAGGCACTAGTCTAGTTCACTTGAATACTCTTCCTATGGGATCTGCACAGAAAACACACACGTGTACCTCAGCCTCAGTTCCCTTGGCTGCAAAAGAAAGCTAATCGCACCTTAGCTGCCTCTATCTTAGAGATACAGTGTGAGGACACCATGAAATGTGAAAACATTTACAGATATGCATTTTTTTTACAAATCCAGGAATTATTCAATACTTCCCCAATTAGATCCTAAATGTGAAATAGCCTAAGACTTCATAATATAAACAGAAGGCATTAGATATACAAACCTGTTGTAAATTAAACAAATATCCACATTTTCCACAAAGGGTACCAGGGAACCATGAGCTTTCTAACACCCAATCTGACAGTATAACTTAAAACATGAACACATTTTATTGGAGTCTGTCTTTTTTATATGGAACTTACATTATTGCTGCATGTCTTGTAGCGAATATTCTGCCCTTCACAGTTCCTAATCAAGGGACAAAGAAAAGAATCATTTCATTGAAATGGCAAGCATCACAAAAAGCAAAAACAAGGCACTGGTTTCCTAATAGTGCACATTACTCCAAAGATCCAAAGTTTAAATCTTAAGAAATAACTTTTAAGAATCAGGAGATCAAAAAGTCTCATGTAATAGTATCGTACTTAAAGAGAGTAAATTCTCTCCAACTAATGCAGTATCAGTAATCACGAGAAAAGCTTTTACCCCAGGGTCCATATAACTACTAAAATTAACATATAGGCGCATCTGCATGGACAAAAGTATATATTTTTTTCTTCTTAGGAAGAAAGGAACACTACAAATATATGCATTTGTGTAGCAATTCCTCGCCCACGCCCCAAACCAAACTCACAGCCAAGGTTCAGACTCCTCGTATCGATGTTATCGGACTGAGTAGAACTGTTCCATCGGGCTTGGAAGACTTAACCATTATAGAAGCAGACTGCCTCATCTTTTCCCTGTAGTATGGCTGGTGGGTTTGAACCACTGACCTCATGGTTAGCATTCAACACTTCACACCAGCTCTCCTCGATTCCCTGCTGGAGCTACTTAATTCCTCTTTCTCACCTACTGAAGCAAACCCAACTTAGCTGGAGCGTACTGGTCTCCAAATGTAATATGTCACTTCCAGTTACTTCCACCGTTGGCTGTACTAAATGGGTACTAGAAATCAGCATGGGGGACACTCTCTTGAGATACTACATGGATGCTGGGAAGAGCTGATGTCATATATAAACTGGAGAAAATTCAAACTCACTGCCATGGAGTCAATGTTGACTCAGCAGCCCCATAGAGGGAGTAGAACTGTCCCCTGTGGCTTCCAAGGGTGTCAATCTTTGCAAGAGTAGAAAGTCTCATCTCTTTCCTGTGATAAGGCTGGAGGGGGTGGTGATGAACTGCTGACCTTGTGGTTAGCTACCTAATATGTAACCCATGATGTCACCAGAGCTCCTATAAGATGGAGTCATCCCATAAGGATTGCCCAATCCTCCAGCCACTTCCTCTGGGATCCTGCCACTTATTTCCTAAACTACCTTTTCCTTTTGTTCTTCTAACATCCATCTGGTAGGTACTGTCCTCTGTTTGCTGCTCGCTGCTCCATCTTTTACAAAAGCTCCTTAAAGGTATCCGGGTTCTTCAGAGAACTAGTGGTGATTGTTTGATGGAGTCATATTCCTTGTTCTCATTATGTTTTTTAAGGCACCCAGGTGGTTTAACAGGTTCCGCCTTGGGGGGCTAACTGCAAGGGCAGCAGTTCTGAATCACCATCCAAGATTCAGTCTCAGAAACTCACAAGGCAGTTCTACGCTGTCCTATAGGGTCGCTATGAGATGCAATTGACTCGATGGCACTTAAGTTGATTGATTCGTTTTTCAAAATTAATTCAATAGCAATTTTAGAAGGAAGAAAGTTAGACACATGGGTTTAAATCATCATCTTGAAAAGTCAACAGATCTAATTTCAAATGTTGTTTTAAAACAGTCTTGTATGAACAGAAAAGATTTAAAGTGTATCTGAGATCATTTTTGAGGGAATGATTTAAATATGTGAGTCGCTATGAAATAAAGGTTAAGAGCCCACTTCAGCAACATATAACTCATTACAAGTAGTCACTGGCTTACAAGGTTCCATGATTCCATAATAAACCATTTCTGACATAAGTTGAATGCCTCATTTATTGTATTTCTCATTGCTATTACCTTTTATCACAAGTGTCCTTCTAAAGCTGATCTTGATTTGTTTGAGGGGGGTTGGAAATATTATACATGAACCTATATATATATTTTAATACACCTCCCCCCCAACCAAACCCACTGACGTGTGGTCGATTTTAGCACACAGAAGAACCATTCTATAGGATTTTGAGGTTGTAAATCTTTATGGAAGCAAACTGCTACTTCTTTCTTCTTTGGAGAGACTTGTGGATTTGAACCACTGAGCTTTCATTTAATGTTCCAAAGCTTAACTCTCTGTGCCACAAAGGCTATTTAATACATACATAACGTTAGTTCTAATAATGTGGCACTATATGATACCCACCTCCCTGACATGATCGCTGAAGAAAAAATGGGTGCATAAGCAAGTGTAGTGAAGAAAGTTGATGGTGCCCAGCTATCAAAAGCTATAGCAACTGGTCTTAAATGCTTGGAGTTAAACAAGTCACCATCTAGCAGGGAATAAACAAAGCCCACATGGAAGAAACACACTAGCCTGTGTGATCATGAGGTGTTGATGGGAAGAGGTATCAGAAGTTCAAAAACCTTGCATCCAAGTTGATATGAAGGAGCATGGCTGTAGTGGAGACCCAGAGTCCACCAGCAAGACAACTGGACAGTCCCTCTCAGAAGGGTCTCATGGAAAGGAGGATGAATCCAGGGTGCAGTGTGGCACTGATGAGCTAGATAACTATCCTCTAATGCTTTAAGACTTCCTCCCCTTACTATTATGGTCCATACATGATATACCTCATTGGTCATGTTAGACTTGCGTATGTTCATTTGTACATTTAAGATCATTCAGTACATGGTAGTCAAGATAGGTAACCCATCAGAGACAGTGACAGGACTTAAGGTTCCCTGAGGGTACGGGAAGTGAGAGGGGGCCAGCAAGAGGGTGAGAGGAGAGTTGATAGCATTGATGATTGTATAGCCCCACCTGACAGGATTGAACAACAGAGCTGTATGGGAAGGGAAGGGATATATTGGAATGAATAACATATGTCAATTAAAAATATTATTCAAAAAATATATACAAATCATAAAAATTAATTTGAACAATGAAGAAGAGCAGACAGCACTGCCATTTTTGTCAGTTGGGGTAGTAACCCCACTAGTGAAATGTTCGGGATCATCCGGGTTATTCACGGAGCAATGACGGTTGAGTGAGAAAATCAGTGAGGATCGTCTGTGATCCTTTTCTTCACTGTACCATCTTTTCATTGCCACCTCCCTGGCGACAGCTCACTGCTTTCTGGATCTGTCAATGGACTTAAGCAAACCAATTTATGTTTGGGCCCATTTATTCAACAACTGACGGCCCTAACTGATTTCATTTAAACTACACCCAACAAGCAGTGTTTTGAACAATAAACTATAAAACTGAACATCTGCAGGTAAATATCTGAGAATGCTAGCACAGTAAATTATGTGCTGCAACACTGTATGTATTGCTTAACAGTATTACTCTTGTATGTACTTCGATGACTAACAATATGATGTACAAGAAAAAGAGGCAAAAGAGAGAGAGAGAGAGAGTTAGAGAGGGGCGGGGAGAGGGTCTGTAAGTGTGGATAAGTGTGGTTGGCACCACTAACATATGTATTTTTTTATCATTGTATTTTTGTTGATTACAAAATCAGTGAGTTGAGACCTAGTAAAGTTCTAAGATGTATTAGGGGGTATTCATCACAACATTCCATCAGCAAAGACCTTTATTCTGAAGATTTTTGTATTTTATGTTCCCATGTTTCTAGGATGATTTACCTGTTTATTACAAGTTTAAATCATATGGTATTTGTATTTCAGAATTCACTACTGCTCCATGGATTCTGCACTTCATGAATAATTCATTGGAACATTTGTTTTAGTAACTGCACAATAATCCATTGTACAAATATTATCTATTCTGGTTCTTTGAGATGGTTCCCTTTTTGCTACTTTTAAAATGTATACACAGTAAAATTCATTTTTGTTTGGTGTGAAATTTTGAGTTTTGACAAATACATATAGTCATATAAACACTACCACAATCCACATAAAAAATGATTTATCATCCCCAATTCCCTCATGTTGCTCTCCTTCCGCCCTTAGGCGGTGGTGATCACTGATCTGGTTCTTGTTCCTTTTCTTTTACCTTTTGCCAGAATAGCCTAGGAATGGCATCATACACTATACAGCTTTTGTGTGTGCCTTCTTTAATGTAGCTAACGCATTTGTGGTTGGCTTATGTTGTTGCAGGAGCCCTGGTGACATAGAGGTTAGAACTGGGCTGCTAACTGCAAGGTCAGCAGTTTAAAGCCACCAGCTGCTCCACGGGAGAAAGACAGGCTTTCCACTCCTGTAAAGATTGACACTCTCAGAAACTCACAGGGCAGCTCTACCCTGTCCTATGGGGTCACTGTGAATCAGCATTGACTCAACGGCTGGGGGGTCAGACAGTCAGTCATGTTGTTACAAAATGAGTCATATCCCATTGTTTAGATGTACCATATTTGTTCATCCATTCATCAGATGAATGACAATTGTGGAGGAGGCAAAAACTGCTATAAAGTCACAGAATAGAGTTTTGTGTGGATTTAAGTTTCAATTTCTTGTGAGTAAATGAAGACCTACAAATTGGATTGAGGGATCCACTTCTTTTTATATAATATAGTAATAATTTGTAAAACATCCGTAGGTTTTCTTTCTTTTTTTAAAATCATTTTATTAGGGGCTCATACAACTCTTATCACAATCCACACACACATCAATTATGTAAAGCGCATTTGTACATCATTCTCAAAACATTTTCTCTCCACTTAAACCCCTGGCCTTAGGTACTCATTTTTCCCCTCCCTCCTTGCTCCCCCCTCCCATGAGCCTGGATAGTTTATAAATTGTTATTTTGTCATATCTTGCCCTGTCCAACATCTCCCTTCACCCACTTTTCTGTTGTCCATCCCTCAGGGCGGAGGTCACATATAGTTCCTTGTAATCGGTTCCCTCTTTCCTACCCACTCTCCCTCTACCCTCCCTGTTTCGCCACTCACACCACTGGTACTGAAGGGATCATCCGCCCTGGATTCCCTGGATTTTCAGTTCCTATCTGTACCAGTGTATTTCCTCTGGTCTAGCCAGACTTGTAAGGTCGAATTCGAGTCATGGTAGTGGGAGAGGGGAGGAAACATTTAGGAACCTGAGGAAAGTTGTATTTTTCATCATTGTTGCATCTCACCCTGACTGGCTCATCTCCTCCCTGAGACCCCTCTG